TCATTATGCGCCGGGTCTGCTTGTCTGCGAGGAAGCAGATGGTGGGGAGGTAGGCAGCGGCGAGGGGAGCCAGACCTGCATCCCGTTCACCTGTCACCTCCCACCAAAAAAAAAAAAAAGCAAGTTCGAGGGATTCAGGGATTCGGTCCCCCCTTGGGGGAGGGGCCGCTGTTTCCGTTTACCTGCGGGCGCTGCGCCCCCCACCTCCTGCCTTCCCCCTCGGCGGCGGCGGCGGCGCGGCTGCTCGCACCGTGTAAATGTCACTCACGTGTCAGGATGTGTGTTTACAGCCTGTTCCTCTCCTTGTTTAGTCTCCGCGGACCCGGCTCCGTGGTTGGGTGACGTCCCTCGCCCCCCTCCTCCGCCCTCCTTTGGGTTGCGGGGAGACTACGCTAAAGGGACCGGCCTCTGAGCCCCGGGCCCGCGCACCCGCATCCCGCCGGGCGAAGGATGCGAGACGCGCCGGCGCCTCTGGAGAACCGGAGCGCGCCCCAACCGCGACTCGGAGGGCTCCATCAGGCACGCGCGGCCCTGGAATCTGGGGTCCGCCGAAGGGGCGCGTGGGAAGCAGGCCTGAAGTGTGGCGGCCTGATCACGTTCATTCCCAAGGGGGAGTGGCGGAGGGGGTGAAGAGCCGCAGAATGGGTTTCCCCCTTTCTCGGGACGAGGGCTCGAGAGTTCTGGAGTGCACCCGCCCCCTCCCCCTGCTTCTAAAGGCTTCAGCTTCTCGAGTTCTCTCAGCCTGGTTGAGCTCACCCAGGCTGGGTGCCCAACTGCCCAACTGCACCCGGGACAAACGTCCTGCCTTCTTAGAGATTTTTTTTTCTACACCTTGGGCGACCTCCAGTTGAACCCCGGTGACTCCCAGATTAGGTTTTCGTTCCCCACTTTCTTTGAAAGAAAAGGGCCCGGATGGGTCAGTGAAACAGGCTTGTGTAGTGGTGTAGGTGTCCGTGTGCCTGGGGTGCCCAAGCCCAAGTCCGCGCGGACAGGCGGGCAGGCGCGTCTGTGGGTTTATGATCCTTCCCTCGCCGCGCTGGGGCATCTGTGCGCGTGTGCAGCGTGTACATCCCGTGTAAGTTCAGGAGCTTTTGCAATATACATACAGAGGGCTTAGGTGGAAGTATCTGAGCCTGCCAGTGGTGCACGGAATAATTTAAGGTGGAGAAACAACAGCATCCACCCGCCTGGCACTGGACCTGGGCTTATGCTCCCCCCCCCGCCCCCACCCCACATACACTGGTAGCCGCACAGCAGCCCAAGCAGCTCAGATGGTATTCGAGGTTTGTATCAGCGTGTTCAGCAGCAGAGATGGACACGTGCATTTTCATGCAGGCATTAGGAGCAAGGCACATACATCTATTTCTGTCTGAAAGTTACAGATCCCATGTGGAGGCTAGTAGGGCTCAGGGCTGCCTCGGGCTGTGTTCAGGGAGAGAAACTTGCAGAGACCCATCTCTCCCCCACAAAGCAGACCTGGGAGATACGAACTGAAGTCCAAAAGGGACTTTCTCCTTCCATTTTTCTCCACCATCACTTATTTCCTAAACCCTGCCTTCACCAGACACCTACAAAGACTCTAAATTGAGCCTGAAGGGTGGGCGCTGGGGTGGCATGGGATTTCCCAGGCAGGCCAAGGTGTTTGTCCTTGAACATGTGGTCCACACCCCATGGCACCCGGGTTGCGGCATGAAGCACCTTGCGCCATGAGAGAGGCCTGTGGTCATTCAGAACTGGGCGACGTTACTGGTATCCAGAGTGGGAAAGTTTTTAACAGGAAAGAGGAGATGGAAAAGGAACAGTAAAGAAAACTTTGCTAAGCACCTACTATATAACAGACATTTTTACCTCCACAATTTTTTCCTTTCTTAGCATATCCAGGGGGGGATTTCTCTTTTTCCGCCTCCCCACATTGGTAAAGCTCAGGAACAGGCTAAGGAGAAATTAAATCTACTTGTCTGTAATTACTTTCTACCTGAATCAGCACCACTAAGATTCGAACCCATGGCTTGTCATAAAGCCCCGCTCACCCAACCCACTCTTCCAGGCCTGAGAGAGCCAGAAAGCGCTACACGCTGATCTATAAATTGGATCCTAGCGCGCAGGTAGCCAGGACGTGCCGGCCGAGCGCCCTCCCTCCCGGGGAGCCGGCGCTCCCACCCGCTCTTCCCTCCTTGGCTCAGCGGGGTCCCCAGGAGATGCTCGCAGCCCGAGGCGTGGGGCCCCGGGCCGGAGGCGGAGCTCGACGGGAAGCGGCCGACGACTCCCGCGTCTCTGCCGGGGCCTCTTTCGCCGCGGGCCGAGGGGTGTCCGGAGTGAGACCTCCTCAAGCATCCTCCGGCTACGCCTCCTTAGTATGGAGACGGCGGAGAGAGGGTATCATTTTCCCTTCGAAAGATATCGCAGGGAACTGTTGGGGAGCTTAAAAACTCCAACCCCCCGCGCTCTCCGTGCCCCCTCCCTCCAGCCTCACCCACCAGCTCCCACCCTCTCGCCGCTCCTCTCCTCCCCTTCTTCTCCCCTCCCCTCGGGTCTCCCGCCTTCCCGGAGCACGCGCTGCCAGGGCCAGGGGTGCTGGGCGGCCAATGGCGCGGCGGCAGGACGTGATGTCAGGCGCGGCTGTAGAAAAGGCGCGGACGCTTGGCTGGCGCTGACTGCGGAGCCGGGGCTGGGCTCGGCGCGCTCTTGGAGAGCTTTGCGCGCGGCTGGGCCCGCGGCCGGCGGCTCCTCCTCCCTCTCTGCTCCTCCTCCTTTTTCTCCTCCTCCTCCTCCTCCTCCTCCACCACCTCCTCCTCCACCTCCTCCTTCTCCTCCTTCTCCTCCTCCTCCTCCTCCTCCTCTTCCTCCTCCTCCTCCTCTTCAATTCTCCCGGTGGCTCGACTCGGCTCGCTGGCTTTGGAGAAACCCTTGCTCCAGCGGCCAACTGGGCACCCAAGTGGGTCGCCTGGGGCAGGGGAGCGCACCCCGGGGAGGAGAGAGGTCCAGGCAGCTGGGCCGCCGCGGGCACCTAAGCCGCTGCGGGGTGAGCCCGGACCGCAGCCGTCGCCGCCTCGGGCAGAGTTTGCGCTCCAGCTTTGCGCCCGGGGCGCCGAAGCGGGGAGAGCGATGCCCGCGGCGTGAAAGCGCCCGCGGCGGGCGCCAACCTCTGCCCTCGCCTCCCGCCCCCCTCCCCCTCCCGCCCCGTGCCCTCGTGACCCTGGCTTTGGCGCCGCCGCCCAGGCGCCCCGCGATGTAGCTGCCCCCGTGCCTCGGCGGGAGGCGTCCTGGCCCGCGGGCGCCCGAGGCCCAGAGCCCGGCCTGGGGGCGCAGCCGAGCTCGGGCGGGGCCGGGGCCGCGGTGGCGATGCACCGGGCCCGTTAGCGCCGGGAGCGCCGGGCAGCTGAGGCGGGGGGCAAGCCCTCCCGCGGAGGAGCCGCGCCCCCGGCCCCGCCGGTCCCGCCGCGATGCTGTTCCACAGTCTGTCGGGCCCCGAGGTGCACGGGGTCATCGACGAGATGGACCGCAGGGCCAAGAGCGAGGCTCCCGCCATCAGCTCCGCCATCGACCGCGGCGACACGGAGACGGTAGGCGCACACCTAGCGGGGTCCGGGCCGACCTCGGGGACCGGGTCCGGTCGGTCCGTGCCTGGCCCTCCGAAGTTTGGGACCACTTTGGGGAGCGTCGTTCGTGCGGTGCGGGACCGGGCGCTGGGGCTCCGCGGACAGATGCGAGGTCCGCAGTTCCCGGCTCCAGGGAAACCCGGATGGTGGGGCGGGCGAGGGAAAGGGGGTTCGAACAGAAATTTCAGACCCCGCGGAGGGGAAGGGACCATTTCCACCCAAGTGGGAGAGAAGTCCCAGCCGCAGACCGGGCTGGAGGGCAGACGTCTGGGGACACAACTCGCTTGGTGGGACCCTTTGGTCTGCAGCCCCCGCTCTCCACCACTCGGCCGCGGCGCTGGCGACGCTGGGAAAGCGAACCGAGCCGGAGCGCTGGGGCTCGGGCAGGCACGGGCCGCCGCTCCCCACCATCCGGCCCCCCGGGCTCCCTCCTTAGTGCGATTGCAGGGGTCGGAGAGTTCTGGGCCAGTGCTGTTCGTTGACTGCGTTCCCCCCTACCTCCTGGCTAGCCGGACTTGGCCTGGCCGGGACTGGGAGTTCAGGCTCCGGCCTGCCTCTCGCCGAGGGAGGAGGGTTCATTCGGATCCCCACACCTGGCTCCGCCGGCTCAGCCCCAAATAGCTAGTTCCTGGCCTCAGATCTCCCCTGGGACCAGATGAGCTGCCCAAGCCGGGCCCAGAAGTGACCTTTAGAGGCGGAGGCGGTGGGGAGTAGAGACAGCGCTCCCTCGCTAAGCCAGAGCAGAAGCGCCAGCGCCTCTTCTCCGGTTAAACCCACTCAGCCTGTCCGTTTGGTTAGGGGATGAGGCCTGTCCTACACCCCAGGACTCTGAGGGTGCCCCTGCACCCGAATCACCGCGTCCCAGGACCCAAGAGAGGACCCTCGCTGAGTCAGAGAGGGCCTCGACCTGCCCTGGCCTAAACCTTTGGATCCAGAGGCCCCCAAGGCCGGTCAGGTTGGGGACCAGAAAGTCTGCCGGGGCAGTTTGTATGGTGATGGGTAGTTCCTCCTCCCCTTGGGTGGATCCTTTAAGAAACAGGTTGGGGGGGAGCTTCTGAGGGGCCTGACTGGAGTGGAGGAGGCAGCCCACCCCACCCCAAGCACAGCCCCAGTCCTCCTGGGGAATCTGGGAATCGGACAGAGGAGACAGGAAGGGGAGAAGCGAAGGACTGAGCTCCCTGCGGCCAGCCAGCACGGGGCCCCGGGCCAGTGGCCGGAGGGGCTGCGTGGGAGGGCCTAGCTGCTGGGCCTCCCGGATGGGGGTTCTTGGGGGGTGGAGGAAGCGCCCCGGAGGCCCCTTGGGTGAGCAGGGCTCACCCGAGCTGCGGAGGCCGGTTTCCCCTCAGCCGCCAGGCCACAGGCTGACGGGTGCGGCCATCTCCCGCCTCCCTCCATCCGCAGACCATGCCGTCCATCAGCAGTGACCGAGCGGCGCTGTGCGCCGGCTGCGGGGGCAAGATCTCCGACCGCTACTATCTGCTGGCGGTGGACAAGCAGTGGCACATGCGCTGTCTCAAGTGCTGTGAGTGCAAGCTCAACCTGGAGTCGGAGCTGACCTGCTTCAGCAAGGACGGCAGCATCTACTGCAAGGAAGACTACTACAGGTACCCCCCCCACTGTGCCCCCACCACCTTCCCTCCAGTGCCAGGGGAGGGTCCGACCTACTGTGTGCAACCCCCTCCCACCCTTAGCCCGCCAAATTGGGTGACAACCTTTCTAAAACAGCAGTTCCTGGGGACTCTCCCAAGGAGGAGCAGTGAAGTGGAACCAGAGAAAAGTTGAAGCCCCCCCCCCCCCCACACACCATCCTGCAACTCTAAATGACCTGGGGTTGGGGGGAAGAGATCTCTCTTCCCTTTTCCTTTAGAATTTATTGGGGCAACCAGAGGGAACAGGAACAGATTCCAAATCCCCCAAACCGCAGCTGCCTGGGCTGGTGTGGAGCAAAGTTGCTTAGAGGGCTTGGGGGTCAGACTGGGGCATTTCTGGATCTTTGGCAGAGATGGGAGCGAAGACTGAGCCACTTCCCAACTCCTCGTCGGGTGCCTTGCTTCAGCCACTTGGACTTAGAGTTAGGGTATGCTTATAGGTACTCCTCCCCTCCTTCCACAACCTCTCTGGTATTTGTTCCAAAAGGCCAAGGTCTGGAAGGTTCCCTGGCGTCAGTGTGGAGGGCAAGGGCAGCCTCTGAGGAAGGGAAGTTTCTTCCCTAGTAAAGCAAACTCTGTTTGGGCGTACTCAGGCTCTGGGTATAGCAGCCGCCTTTGTAGGCAACGCAGGAAAATGATCAAGAGGCGATTTCAGGCTTGGCCCCGTCTGGGCCATCCTGATGCTGCTTCTCCCCTCCAAGCTCAGACCCACCAATTCCCCCCTTGAAATGGGGAAGTCCCCCACCCCCTAGGTAGCAGTGGCACCTGGAGGAGGGATGTGGGGGGGATACCCAACCGTGTGTCCCCACAGTCCCTCCCTCGATGGTCCCTACAGGCGGTTCTCTGTGCAGCGCTGCGCCCGCTGCCACCTGGGCATCTCCGCCTCCGAGATGGTGATGCGCGCCCGGGACTTGGTGTATCACCTCAACTGCTTCACGTGCACCACGTGTAACAAGATGCTGACCACGGGAGACCACTTCGGTATGAAGGACAGCCTGGTCTACTGCCGATTGCACTTCGAGGCGCTGCTGCAGGGCGAATACCCCGCGCACTTCAACCACGCCGACGTGGCGGCCGCCGCCGCCGCCGCCGCCGCGGCCAAGAGCGCGGGGCTGGGAGCCGCTGGGGCCAATCCGCTGGGCCTTCCCTATTACAACGGCGTGGGCACGGTGCAGAAGGGGCGGCCGAGGAAACGCAAGAGCCCGGGCCCGGGGGCCGATTTGGCAGCCTACAACGCCGGTGAGTGCGAGGCGCACCAGTAGCCTCCGTAGGGCTGGGGGCTAAAGTGCGCGCGCCTCCGCGGGCCGCCCCGCGAGCGAATCGCGGCGTGTTGCGTGTGTAGAACTCTGGGCCCGGAGCCCCTAGCACCCGCCCCCACGGGCCCTCAGCCCCGCGAAATTTGGGAAAAGGCTCCTTAGACGCTCCACACGCCGCCGGCCCCGCCGGCCCCACGTTCCCTGAGCTGCAGCCGGTGGAGAGATGCGTTAGTACCTTGCTGCTCCGGGAAACTGAGCGGCGACAATTGAGCAATTATTTTTATTTTTAAGCGGCGCCTGTTTGGTTTGAGCCTTCCCCCCTCTTTTGCTGAGCCCGAAGTGCAAGGCTACCCCAGGCGCGGCCGCGCGCTCCAATGGGCTCTGCGCCCCTGCGCCCGGGGAGGCCGGTCGGTCGAGGGCCGGCCGAGATGGCCCCGGCTCAGGGGAAATGCCCGGGACTGCGCGTCGGAGGCCGGGCGCGCGTGCTGCTCGGGCCGGCTCAATCGGTTTTCCCGGGCTCCTTCCTCCGTGTTCCGGGCGCCAGCGGGTCTCTGGGAGCAGAGGCCGACCCTCGCAAACCGGCGCGCTGGCCTGAGACCCGAGTAGGCCCGGTTTAGCGGCGGGGCAGGGTGGAGGAGTTTTTTTTTTCCCCTTCTCTCCCCTTTTCTTCTTTGCATTTCCGGCATCTTTGAACCCCAGGCCTTCCCCGGACAGGCTCAGCCCCCTCCTGGGCCCCTCCCCGCCAGGGACAGCTGTGGATTTTCTGGGACGGGGCACTTGGATCCCTCCACATCTGCCCGAAGGCTGTACAGCCGGCAGAGGTTTGTCTCTGCCTGGGCTTCTGAGCAACAGAGTTTATCTGCATTTGTTTTCTTTCTCTCGTTGGTGTTGGCGACGATTAGATTTTGTTCTCTTTTGCCTTTTACCTTCTGAACGAGTGGAAAACCCAGCTTACCCACCCGGGACTGTGCGGGGAGCGGGCAAATATCGGGGCTTTTACTCTGACCATCTGTGCTGGCTGGGGGAGGAACGTGGGGTGTGGCCCAGAGTCCCCAGTTCGCTCCAACGAAGTTGCTTGTTAGGTGGTGGCTGCTGGCAGGTCGGAGGTCGATGATTTGTTGAGGGATGCTGCTCCCTAAAACTTCCATCCTTGCACACACCTCCTCCCCCTGAAAACAGACCAGAGTCCAGTCCAGATTTCCTCCAACAAAGCCTGCTGGGCCATGGGGTCGATGGGTGGGGGATGTCACGTTGCCCTCCCCGCCAACTCAGGCCCAGGCCGGCGTGGAGTGGAGAGGGAGCAGGTCTGGAGAGGTATTTATGCTTTTGCTGTGCCCCTGCCTTGGGGTGGGGGTGGGGGGACACAGCGCCCGCCTGAGGCTGAGATTCCACAAGGCGTTTTCCACTCGGGCCATCTCTCCTGCAGGAAGGGGGTCTCTTTCCTTTGATCCCTTTCAGCTCCTTTCCTTCCCCCTTTCCGCCATCGCTGCATGTGTCCCTGTGTCCCTCTGGCGCCTTCCCCGACTTGGAGTCAATCTCTTCCTGTGTCCTGATTTGGGGGCTTTTGGGTGGGGGCTGGCATAGAGGTGCATCCCTGGTTGTGCTGGGTCCAGCCCAGCCTCTCCAGGTCTGTTCTCCTTAGTCCCCTCTGGCCTGAGATGAGACCGTGAGGGCGGGAGGGAGAAGTGTGTGTGTGTGTGTGTGTGTGTGTGTGTGTGTGTGTGTGTGTTGGGGAGGGTGGTGGTGTGGTGGTGGGGAGACCTTTGCTGTTGCTGCTGCTGCTGCTCTGGACCAGCATGTGTCCGTGCTGGGAGCCAGCGCATTTCTGACTCCCAGGATGAGGGTCCCCACACCTCAGGGCCCAGACACACACAGGCTCCTACAAGCCAGGGGGAAACAGTGTCGTGGAGAGCTGAGGAGGGGGCTGTTGTCCCTGTGCTCAGTCCCCTGCGGGAGCCATGGGGGCCATGCGGGTCGGGAAGTTCTTTGGGGTCGGGGCCCTCCTCTGGCTGCCCCAGTTGTCTGAGCACCGAGCACTGCCGGGTCCTGAGGCAGCACAGAAATCTTCCCCCACCCCCACTGCAGCTGCCTGCCGGCCAAAGGCCAGGGTGGCAGTGAGGGGCCCGAACTGAAGTGGGGTTCTCTCGGACCCCCCAGACCGCAGGAGTCCAGCCCGGACTGACTGACGGACTGACGATGCCCGAACCTCCCCCAGTCCTGGCTTTGTGTGTGTGTGTGTGTGTGTGTGTGTGAGTGAGTGTGTGTGTGTGAGTGTGTGTGTGTGTGTGTGTGTGTGCCTGGTGGCGTAATTACTGATTTGATTCCAATCCATTATTTAGACAATTGAACCTACAATCTCGTCTTTAGTAAAATGAGGCGAAGTCAGATTTGATTACAGGTTCAGTCCCAGCGACAAGAGCTCGAAACCCGATGGGTTAATAACAGATCACGAGTAAATTATTCATGATTTTACGAGCTCTTTAGCTCCATTGAATCGGCCTAATTGAGAGGAAAAAAAAAGGGGAAAGAGAAAGCCGGGTCTTCCCCTCCCCTCGGCCCCTCACTCCTCCCCGGATTCGATCCTGGAGAATCTCCACCCACCCGGGGCGACAGAGTAAGGAGGACTGCGGGGCCTGAGATACCAGCGGAACCTGGGTCTAACTGCTAACACCCCCTCCCGCAGCGCCTTGCCTGGCTGAGTCCTACCTTGTACCCCCTTCTCGTCCACCCTCCTCTCCTGGTGCTTCTTTTCCCTTTTTCTCCACCCGGGATTTTAAAGCTTTGGAAAAGGCCTTGGGGCCCCTGTCCCCATCCTGGGGCGTAGGGATTTGGTTTCCTAACTGGACCCTCCCTCACACACCCTGTTTCTGAGCCGGCCTCTCCCCTCAGCCCCTCCCGGCTGCGGACTGGCTTTGTGACAGCCGGCTGGCCGCCTTTCTTTCCCTCCGTCTTTTTTTTTCTTCCTCAAGCTCTGTACATCCCCCCCAACCCTTTTCTCTCTCTTCTTTCACCCTCTCTCAGTGGCCTCGTTCTCCCTCGTCTGCTCTTTCTGCCTACCTCCCCTGAACCTCCTCCCCCTACCTCTAGGCCTCACTCAGGCCACGTCCCTTGGGTGCATGGGGCGCCGGGGTCCCCACGGAGCTCATTAACAGCAGCAAGACCCAGGCGGGGGCTGGGAGGAGGGATGGGGCCTGAGATCCCCCATGGGGAGGACCGCCCCAACCTCCCCTCCCCCCCATCTCCCCAGCTGGGGATTGGGGCTGAGGAAAGCGTTGCTCCCTGGAGGGGTGGGCAGTTTCCATGAATCCCACTTGCTGGCAGTCTCGGGGCCCCTGTCAATTGCCCGACCCCTGCTCTTTGCTCTGTGCAGGAGCGCAGGCTGGGCGGGGAACTCAGGTGCCTGGAGGGAAGGACCCTGACAAGGTGTCGCTGCTCACACTCAGGGTTCTGCAGACTCTCTCTGGAAGGGATGGAGCGGAGCTCCTGGGAGAGCCGCAGGACTTCTGCGTAGTGTTCCCAACAAAATGTGGGGTACCCAGCTCGACATTCGACGTGCGGGTAAACAGCCAGTGCATCAGCAGCGTCAGTGTGTCCTGGGAAGTCTTTTAAATAACGTCCCGGGCAGCCTTTGCATTTTAAGTAACAACACCTACAATGTGGGTATATGTGGATACTGTGCGCTTGAATATTTGGTAAGCCACCAGCCAATATTTAGATTCCTGTGTAATATTTGAGACATTCTCAGGCTCACAAAATTGTCTCTTCTTTACCTAAAATTCGAATTTAACTGGGAACCCGCATTTTTGTTGTTTGGCTCAGTCGTGCAGCTTTATTATGGGCAGGCGATGGTGCACCGATGTATTCTCAGTTGCCCACTTTAGGGGGGCTGGATTTTTCCCCTAGGAGACTTTGCCTGAGGTCAGACCTTAGGTACAGGGTGGTTGGGGAGATGTGTAAGGCTCTTGGCATGGGGTCCTGCAAGTCTCCATCACTCACCAGTTTGCCAAGCAACTGAGGCGGAGTGCATTCCATCCCTATCCTCTCTACACGACCCCCAAAACACACACCCTCCTCCGCTCAACTTCCAGGTCCAGGTAACCTGGGACCCCTCCTGGGTGAGGACGGATGCCCCAAAGAGTCTTGCTTCGCCATTGCCTGCCTTTGGTGTGGTGGAAGGAAACTTGGCTCAGCCGCTAGAGAGTTGGGCTGTCTGCATGTGACTTTATTTCCCTGAGCTTTAGTTTCTCAATCTCTAAAATGGGATGAATACTGGCAGCATCTCTTGCCAGAGCAGCGAAGGTTCCAGGATGGATGAGGAGTCTAAGGCATCTCTAAGGTGCCGATTACATGTTAATTTCTTCCTCTAGCCTCCTTCCCTTTCCACTTAGAACCTGTCACTCTGATTTCCGGGGAGTGCTTCCCTCCCTTCCTCATTTGCCCCATTTGTAAAGCCGGGGAAACAGCTGCTCTCCAGGGCAGTGGAGAGGATTAAAGATAAAATTCAATGTTCAACCTTCAGTTCAGAGCCTGTGCAGCCTCTCAACGGATCTTTGGGGTGTGGGAAGAGATGCGAGCAACTGGAGAGTGAGTGTAGAGACATTAGCACCTTACAGGTGCCTGTCCAGACACTGAGCATGGAGGTGGAGATGGTAGGGAGACGGGAGGGAGACGGCCCACATCCTCATCCTCAGGGAGCTCCAGAAGGAATCGGAGGAGCCTGGGCCTGAAGCTCCCTGGGGTGCCACTGAGTCCCTGGTCTAGTCACTTCCCTTTCTGAGTCTCAGTTTCAACTTCTGTTAAAAAAAAAAAACTAAAAACGGTGCCTGGTTCCCGAAGATTGTTTGGGGGATTCAATCCAGTCAGAACCTTTAGCACATCCTCTCAGTCAACAAGCCATCGAGTGGAGACTGTTGGCATTACCATTGTAGGTGGTTGTGGTGGCCCAGAATGACTTGGCGGCCTCGAATCCAGCGTTTCCCAGCCAAGGCACGAGGGGCAGGGGCTCTTTCTGAACCTCACCTTTACAAACCGGGGCTTCTGCCTCGCCCCGGGGAGAAGGCGAGGGGGGTTAGACTCTTGCGGCACTTTTGGCGCTGGGTGGGTCTGGAGATTCACCCGCATCTCCCTCTGCGTCTCCTCCCCAGCGCTGAGCTGCAATGAGAACGAGGCGGAGCACCTGGACCGGGACCAGCCCTACCCAAGCAGCCAGAAGACCAAGCGCATGCGCACCTCCTTCAAGCACCACCAGCTTCGGACCATGAAGTCTTACTTTGCCATTAACCACAACCCCGACGCCAAGGACTTGAAGCAGCTCGCGCAGAAGACGGGCCTCACCAAGCGGGTCCTCCAGGTCAGCAGGGCTGTGGAAGAGGAGAAGGGTTGGAGGGTGGAGGGCTTGGGACCTTCTGCCCCGCGCTGGCCTTTTTCTCTAACAGTTTCTTCCTTCAACTCAACTCTCTAATCTGCCCTCCCCGACTTCCCACCACACACACACACACACACACACACACACACACACACACACACACACGCACGCACGCACGCACGCGCGCACACACTTTATCTTGTCTTTTTCAACCTGTGCTCCTCACTTTTTTGATTTTGTAAATGTGTATTTCCAGGTCTTGTCCCCACAGCTGCTTTTCTTTCTTATAAACAATCCTTAGTTGTTACTTATTACTCAAGCAACAGGAAAATAAGTTCCTGCTGCTATTAAAAAAAATTTAAGCATTTCAGATAAATTCACACCCCGCTCTCCCTCTGCCCCCAGCCCCTGCCTGGGACATGTGTCCTTGCTCTTCTCCTTCCGTCTCACTGACGGATTCTCTCTTTGCACAATTCTTGATTTTTCTCCCGTCCCTTTGTCATCCTCCAAACTCTTCCAGAAGCAGGAAGCAGGATTTGGTACCCAGGGGAAGGGGGAGTGTGCTGGGTCCTGCCGGCAGGAGTCTTGAGGGACTAGTAGTCAGGTGGCTCTGAAATTAAGCACTATCTTCTGAGGGAGCCTCTAGAATTTTCGGGAGAATGCCCACTGCTGTCTGTCACCTCCAGGATGCTCAAGACCCCAGTGTGGACAATCCCAGATTCTGAAATGACCCAAGCTTGGGGCACCCTCTTCTCAAATCCTTTGACTCCTTCCCTGAACCTGCTTTGTGGTCCTAAACTTGTCCCTAAGCTGCAAGGGGCCCTGTTTTCCTCATAGGTGATGTGCGTGTCATAGATTATTTCTACTAAGGCTGCTTAAACATTTTCCACTTGTGACTCCTTTTCACCTGAGAAATTTTTATGGGAGCCTGGGTATACAAAGTAGGTATGCAAATCGAACACTTACTGATCCCTGATCGTAAATTAACTTGAAAACGATGTTTTCATGACTCCTGCCTTGAGTTACGCAGTAGTCCCCGTGGAGTGGAGCCCACAGTTTACAGAGCGAAACTCTGCATCTGAGACTAGAGGATCCAGGGAGGCTATGTGAGTGTCCGCCACAGAGACTGACAACTGCTCCGTGGATGGATGATTAACTGGAATAATTATCTTGTTAATTAATTGAAATTAGCATGAATCATGACTCCGGTTGCTGAACTGCAGTTTCGTATTCTTTACACTTTTTTTGGCAGGGGTGGGGGGTTGATGTGGTTTGAGCCACGCCCAGCTGTGCTCAGAGCTTACTCTTGACTCTGAGTGCAGAGATCATTCCTGGCCAGGCTTGGGGCACTTTGTGGGATGCCCTTCCTGCTGTATTATCCTGCTGCACAATCCCCGCCCCCAGCCCCCATTTGGTACTCTCTTCAGGTGGGACATCATCTCACCAAGTTATTCCTTGAAGAGTGGGGTGATAGGGCTGTCAGTGTGCATTTTGGGGCTCCCAACAAGAAAGGGAGGGGTGTAGATGGTGGGACTGAGTCCAGCCCAATCTGACTTGACCCACCCTCCATGCCCAGGTCCTGGGGGACTGTGCACTGGGGTAGCAGAGGGATGTTTGACACAGAAACGCCAAGGGTGAAGTTGAAGTCTGTTTGATTTCCTCCAAGTTTTCTTGCCAGTCTCTAAGCGGGGGAGGGGGAAAGCCTTTGGTGGGATGATGGTGGAGGCAGGGCAGGTACTTGGATGGTGAGGTCCTGGGCCACTGCCTACACCCAGCATGCCTCTAGTGGGTCTATGGAGCTGCTTTGTTTCCAGAGAGCTTGGTGATGTAGCTGATGGAGGTGAGGGCCAGCCAATAGGGTACAGATGCGCCTCTCTGAGCCTGCCTCGTCTTATCTGGGCTTAGGAGGTGGGCATTGCTAAACTCCTGGAGGGAGGGTTAGATCTGAACCCCTCCGTGGTGGCCCCCAGGTATCTCACTGGAACCTGGAACGGCAGCAGCTCCTTTACTGTGGTTGGGAGTCACATTGTCTCCCTTCCCTACACCTGCCCTTCCAATGTGGGGCAGGTAGTCAGCCCCCTGGAGCCTCAGGGCCTGGAGCAGGGGCTTGGAGCCAGGCAGAGCGGGTTCTGGAAGGCCTGGGTTGGGTTCTGTGTCTCTTCTCCCCGGTTGGGTGTCTGGGATGGCACTGTCCAGCCATACTGGTGGCATTTGTAAATGGGCATCATCGTGGCCCACAATTACCCAGATCCCAGGGGTTAGTGAGTGCCAAGAGCTGAGGTGGAGGCAGAGCCAGCCTCTGCTGCCAATGGGGAGGTGGCAGGCTTGGGTTCCTGATTTAGGTGCCAATGTAGTTCCCAGCATGTTCTCTGCCATTCTTGCCACTGACCATGCTGGCTCCTGGGGACACAAGAATGAGTGAGTGGACCACAACTGTGCTACTTCTACTAACCACCATCAGTGCGCCTGTATACCAGGTGGCCAAGACATTTATTTGTTGAGCCTCACCGTCCTCATTATCCATCACTGTCCATCACTGTCCATCACCCTGGGGGGCAGGGGCATCGTGGGAGAGAGCAGTTCCAACTGGTATCCGTCTGCCCAGAGTCAGACTTGGCTAGTGAAGGGCACCCCCCCTCCCTGCCCCTTCCCTTGAGGGGAACTGTGCGTGCTCCCTCTTGGCCACCTAGCACTGAGGAGCTCTAAGTGTGACTGTCACTTAGGACCCCTATGTTGAATGCCCACTGCTGTCTGTCACCTCCAGGATGCTCAAGACCCCAGTGTGGACAATCCCAGATTCTGAAATGACCCAAGCTTGGGGCACCCTCTTCTCAAATCCTTTGACTCCTTCCCTGAACCTGCTTTGTGGTCCTAAACTTGTCCCTAAGCTGCAAGGGGCCCTGTTTTCCTCATAGGTGATGTGCGTGTCATAGATTATTTCTACTAAGGCTGCTTAAACATTTTCCACTTGTGACTCCTTTTCACCTGAGAAATTTTTATGGGAGCCTGGGTATACAAAGTAGGTATGCAAATCGAACACTTACTGATCCCTGATCGTAAATTAACTTGAAAACGATGTTTTCATGACTCCTGCCTTGAGTTACGCAGTAGTCCCCGTGGAGTGGAGCCCACAGTTTACAGAGCGAAACTCTGCATCTGAGACTAGAGGATCCAGGGAGGCTATGTGAGTGTCCGCCACAGAGACTGACAACTGCTCCGTGGATGGATGATTAACTGGAATAATTATCTTGTTAATTAATTGAAATTAGCATGAATCATGACTCCGGTTGCTGAACTGCAGTTTCGTATTCTTTACACTTTTTTTGGCAGGGGTGGGGGGTTGATGTGGTTTGAGCCACGCCCAGCTGTGCTCAGAGCTTACTCTTGACTCTGAGTGCAGAGATCATTCCTGGCCAGGCTTGGGGCACTTTGTGGGATGCCCTTCCTGCTGTATTATCCTGCTGCACAATCCCCGCCCCCAGCCCCCATTTGGTACTCTCTTCAGGTGGGACATCATCTCACCAAGTTATTCCTTGAAGAGTGGGGTGATAGGGCTGTCAGTGTGCATTTTGGGGCTCCCAACAAGAAAGGGAGGGGTGTAGATGGTGGGACTGAGTCCAGCCCAATCTGACTTGACCCACCCTCCATGCCCAGGTCCTGGGGGACTGTGCACTGGGGTAGCAGAGGGATGTTTGACACAGAAACGCCAAGGGTGAAGTTGAAGTCTGTTTGATTTCCTCCAAGTTTTCTTGCCAGTCTCTAAGCGGGGGAGGGGGAAAGCCTTTGGTGGGATGATGGTGGAGGCAGGGCAGGTACTTGGATGGTGAGGTCCTGGGCCACTGCCTACACCCAGCATGCCTCTAGTGGGTCTATGGAGCTGCTTTGTTTCCAGAGAGCTTGGTGATGTAGCTGATGGAGGTGAGGGCCAGCCAATAGGGTACAGATGCGCCTCTCTGAGCCTGCCTCGTCTTATCTGGGCTTAGGAGGTGGGCATTGCTAAACTCCTGGAGGGAGGGTTAGATCTGAACCCCTCCGTGGTGGCCCCCAGGTATCTCACTGGAACCTGGAACGGCAGCAGCTCCTTTACTGTGGTTGGGAGTCACATTGTCTCCCTTCCCTACACCTGCCCTTCCAATGTGGGGCAGGTAGTCAGCCCCCTGGAGCCTCAGGGCCTGGAGCAGGGGCTTGGAGCCAGGCAGAGCGGGTTCTGGAAGGCCTGGGTTGGGTTCTGTGTCTCTTCTCCCCGGTTGGGTGTCTGGGATGGCACTGTCCAGCCATACTGGTGGCATTTGTAAATGGGCATCATCGTGGCCCACAATTACCCAGATCCCAGGGGTTAGTGAGTGCCAAGAGCTGAGGTGGAGGCAGAGCCAGCCTCTGCTGCCAATGGGGAGGTGGCAGGCTTGGGTTCCTGATTTAGGTGCCAATGTAGTTCCCAGCATGTTCTCTGCCATTCTTGCCACTGACCATGCTGGCTCCTGGGGACACAAGAATGAGTGAGTGGACCACAACTGTGCTACTTCTACTAACCACCATCAGTGCGCCTGTATACCAGGTGGCCAAGACATTTATTTGTTGAGCCTCACCGTCCTCATTATCCATCACTGTCCATCACTGTCCATCACCCTGGGGGGCAGGGGCATCGTGGGAGAGAGCAGTTCCAACTGGTATCCGTCTGCCCAGAGTCAGACTTGGCTAGTGAAGGGCACCCCCCCTCCCTGCCCCTTCCCTTGGGGGGAACTGTGCGTGCTCCCTCTTGGCCACCTAGCACTGAGGAGCTCTAAGTGTGACTGTCACTTAGGACCCCTATGTTGTTGGGGGGTGTCAAGCCTTGGGAATACCAGACCACAGTTTCCTCCAGATCCCACACAAATCTTTAACCTGCTCACAGTTCGGCTGCCCACAAGTAGTGGCAGTTGGCAAAGTTTCTCTTTCCAGCCACACGTCTACTTTATCATTTTCCTACTCATTCCCCTCAACCCCCC